CCTCTTCTCTTGCATCTCTGTCTGGCAGCCTTAAATAAATCGTATCATCCTGAGAAGTGCTGTTCCATATCATCACTGTCATGACAAAAACCTCATATCAAGACAAAAAAGTGTGCGGTTTTGTTTTGACAGTGACAGTGTGCATATGTAGATCATGGTGGGTTTGCAGAAATGGTTGTAGGTCCAGAAATGGTTATGAGATGAAACTACTCAGCGATGCCAGCGATCTGATGGCAGGTGTTGATATTGAGTCAATATCAGCAGAAAATGCTGGTGATTTTGGGGGGAAACAATAATAGAGCTAATCCAATCCTGTAACAAATCTGTCCTGAAATTGGGGTTGAATTGTGTTTGAATAGTTTGAGCATGAAAGGCTACTTTTAGATGCCCATATTCAGTGAAGTGCCTCAATTAAAAACAGCCCATTTTGAAGCTCAGTACTTTTCAAAGGAAAAATATGAGATTGGTATTGGCAGATGTTCAAGGTTTCAGTATTGTTATTGGAAAAGGAAAAGTGGTATTGCAGCATTTCTAGTGTTTGTTGCAAGATTTTATTTTTATTTAAATCTTGTTTTGTAGTTTTTTAAGTGGATTGTATTTGTTAACTTCCTATTTCCCTTCCATTGCATCAGTAAGTTCAGTATTGTAATGGCAAGATACTTCAGATGACAAAAAAACTAGACAAAAATAAACTACAGTCCAACATGCTGTCGTAAGTTCACTGTTAGAAATAAAGGTTCTGTGCAGGTACATTTTTCGTTCATCAAGGTACGAACAATGTAAATGTACCCTCAGAGGTACAACAGTGGTTTTACGGTCCAGTTGTATACCTTAAATAAGTGAAAAGTACATATTCACACCTTTTCATAACCTAATGTTTTAAAACAGAACGATAAAACAAGGCCTGGAGACGAGACGGGGTGTGTGGAGTCAATACAGCTTATGTATATATATAACAATGTAATTACAATGATTGTGCTATAATCATGTTGCCTGACTAAATGTACTGAGATGTACCCTTGAGGGTACCACCTTAGTGACAAGAGGGGTACTGCCCACAGTGACAGTTTAGTACCTTTTTTTCTGAGAGTGTATAGTTAAAAGAACTCTATATACATGCAGAGGACCAGGTCCAAGTAAGGGAGGCTTTCAGAGCCAAGACACAGTAATGAGCAGTTCTGTTCAGCAAGCAGTGCACACCATACATACTCAAGCCACCATGGTGTGTTGACCAAAAAGATGTTACTTTGCTTCAAAACATCATTTTCATTTGAGGTAAACTGCCAGCTTTATTATACTCTGTGTTCAGTACTCAAATATGTACTCAAATCATTGTTGTCGGAAGAAAACCTTGTATCTCCATTTTTGACGTTTTTCAGTTTCTGATGTAATTTGAAAATACCTGTAGTCCTTTACATTGTATGTAAATTTCATGATGAATGGACCAAAAGAAATGGCCCAAAATTGACTTACATTAAAAGTAAAGTATGTTTTTTCTTTCTCCTGTAAAGTTACCATTTTGGAGATACGATGTTTTCTTCTGACAACAGTGATATGCTCATATTAACCCAGGGCCCACATCATGGAAAACTACATTTTTTTCACTTGCTGTCTGGTGACCCTGTATGCATTGTTTTCGGAAAGCTTGTTGATTTGAAACGCAAGCGTCTGGATGTTTTCCCTGAGGGCAAAGAATAGGCGTCTCGATCCTTACAGGGTTTACATGAGACCCCTTGGCAGCAATTACTGTGGGCACCTGCCTCAGATTAAGAGTCAATCTCGCGCCTGTGTAACAAATCTGAGAGATTAGATTGCTGTGCGGGTGCACTGCCATGCCCTCAGGACAGGCCGTGGGGTAGATTTTGTGATGAGGTTGACTGTCTCTTCCAAAGAGATTAGCCCCCACCCGTCTCCCACCCGCCCTGCACTGACGCTCACTGTGCCCCTTGCTGGGTTAATATGATGGGATTCTACAGCGTTCAGATTAATTTAATCTGTGATTCTAATGGGAACTGGAGCTATGGGTGGGTGTTTGGTTTGCTGTGAGCTAGGCCATGGCTGATCACAGCTGCAGTGTTTAGGTGCTCTTAGACAGCACCACAATACCTGTTTGCACTCATTAGGTGAGAATGTGAAACAATTAAATTTCCACATTTCTTTCCTCACCCCAAATGTAGTAGATCAGCCAAGACATGTTTGGCATTAGTTGTTTGTTTCTTTAGTTTTGCTTAGAGCTGTGATGCTAAGATAATGAGTAATGGAATCTTATACCTCACTAATTTGCATTGGCACACCTAAATCATCGGACATTTGCCTCAAACAACATTGAGTTATTAGCTAATCTCAAATAGACCTGCTTATGTAGTTACAGTACATACACTTGGATTATACAAAAAAGACCACCCTTTCGTTGATTGAATTTCCAAATTATTCCTTTTCCAGAGTCAGGAAGAAAAAGCAGAAAGTATATCTTTCGCAAGTGTGTCCATAAATCTGCAGGGATATTTTTCCACACCTTCAAAGTTCAGTCTCAGAAGTTGGTTGCATTTTCTGCTTTTTTTTCTCAAACACATTCAGTGATGTCGAGGTCTAGAATCTGGAGTGCTCAGTCCATTGTTCTGAGAACACAAGCAATTTCTTTGTTTTTTGCAAATTTTCTCAGTAACAGCTTGTTGACAGCTACACATCCTTTTAGACCCATAACATAAAGTTGTCTTGTCACAGTGGAAAGATGGACTGTTTTTTTCAGATCTGAAGTCAAGAGCTTGATTTTCTCTTATCTGTCAAAAACAAAGGTTGGCTGTTACTGATTATCTGATTTTGACAGTTTTGGTGGTCTGCCAGGATGGTAGTTGGTTGTTGGGAGTCCCATGTTCTGTATATCTTGTAATCATTTTTTGACCTCTTTTTTTCAGAAGATCTTGTTTTTTCCACTTATTTTGTTTTGATTTTCCCTTTCCTTATCCAAATAAACTGTCGGACATCTAATCTTAGATATACGTTCTGAAATATGAACTAATAGTAATGTTTCGTTTTAGTAATACCTACTAAAACTTAGTGGCTATTTTGGCTGAAAATATCCCAGTAACATAATAGAATGATCTGCTGTATAATTAAGAAATGAAGGGTCGTCTCTGATTTCTGAATCTGTTTGGCTTCAGGTCTGTCTGTACCTTATTCTGTATGGCTGTAACATCTCCTCCTTTTCACTTTTATGGTTGAATTCTTTATTCGTTCTTTCCTCGAGGTTTTCATCTTCAGCTTATTCCTAGGGGCACAGCGATGCTCTTTGCAGTTAATGCCTGTACTGTCCAGCTCTTAGAGCACCTGCAATCTGAGTCTGCAGCAGTGACCTCATGTGTGTGTCTGTAACCTACTGAACCAGTTTGAACATGATTTCTCTCCATAAGTAGGTCAATTTCAGAAATGTAATTTGAAAGTGCAGCTTTCTCACTCCCTCTTTCAGGGATTTAGCTGGGATTACTGCCATCTACTTTCCTTGCAACGTTATGTCTGTGTGGTATGAGTATATGTGTGTATAAGAGAGAGAGAGAGAACACAGGTTGGCTTAAATCAAGGTTATAGTTCTGGTGCCCTCAGGTGAAAGGATTTTAATTCTAAACCGTGAGAAGATTAGTATTGGGAGTTCCAGCTGAGCACTATTGGTACTGAAAATCATTCCATTTCCAGACAACCTGTTTTCCCCCCAAATAAACCTCTAACCTAGATTTATTATAGCTGACCATGCTGACTGGATGGATGGACGTTACTGAAGCAGAATGTGTGTGTGCGTGTGTCACTTGAGTGCAGTGCCACTTGACCATCCATTAAGAAATTAAGGCCACAGTGCAGTGAACTGAAACGTGTGAAGTAGCGTAAAGCCCACCGCTCCACCGCGCACTCTAATGTAAATGCTACCTTATGCACTGTGAGGAGATGAGCACATTTTAGGGCTGAATGTCACAGCAATGCTGAAAGAGTTCAGTATGCACTATGAAAAGATAGACTGCTTTTAGATCACAGAGCCATGGACGGTAAAATCCCTGTCGGTCCCAAGCCTGTCTTTCATTTAGTGTCTTCCCCAGGTTTTCAGTGAGGGCAAATCCTTTAGGCTGCAGGGATTTGGACCACAGGCTGTGCTTGTGTAGGACATTTGTCCTTCACCGAGTTAGATCAGGTGGGCTGTTAGAAACGTTAACCCCTAGAAAGTACAATAGCAAAGGCATGTTGTAATTTTACATTTGTTATTTCTCACTCGTAGCTAATTAAACCAGGCATTTGTACAAAACAATGTGGATTGTAAACTTTCAGTCAATGTCACATTTGTGTAAATAGTGAATTGGGGTCGGAACTGACACAGGCATAATGGGTTGAATATGTGAAAGTAAGCACAGTCATGTAAACTAGCTGCCTTTTGTGTAAACCTGGAGCAGGCTTCTGTACACGTGTTAAACTATGAATTCATAGTGTATTTACAGCAATATAAAATGCTCATTTAATGTAAATAGTCTTAAAAATATCATTTCAAACTGTATAATACTATGCATCATAAATGAAATGATGCACAATATTAAAGTATTTGGTGGCCAAATCATCAAGGAAGTCAGTCAGTCTGGATCATAATCAGTTTTAAAAACATTATCAAATGGTCGCTTAATAAAAGTGGCCAAAAAACAAAGTGATTTTCCTTTACTATTAATGAGTAGATTAGCATGCCTTACCTAAATTTCATGGCTGTATTATCTATGAAAACTCAAAGATTGGTTTGGATTAGTATCAGCCGATTTCTTAGGTGATTGGATCCGACTGGACATCCCAAGAGTTTAGATTTTGAATACAAAGATGTGCTCCAATTCCACAGTCAGTGTCAGAGATAGGCTGTGTTCTTGTGTTCTGACACAAAATATATTAAAAGTGTTCAAATATTGAAAACGCATCGACCGCATTTAGAGAGTGCATACAATGTTCTCTGATCAAATGGTTCTCCCTCTCTCTCCCAGGCTTTCGGGCAGGCTCACTCTAACCACAGGAAGGTGGCGGCGGACGGTGAGAGCCGGGAGGAGTCTCTGATTCAGGAGTCTGCGTGTAAGGAGGCGTATTACGAGCAGCGTGTGCAGGAGCTACAGGCTGAGCTACGGCAAACACGCAATGTCCTCACCAACACGCAGTCTGAGAACGAACGCCTGGCCACCATCACGCAGGAGCTCAGAGAGGTGAGACTGCAGGCCTGAGGCCACGTCCACGGCTAAACACGAAACATCGTACACTTTTACAGCTACTTACACTTTTGGTTCTTGTAGAGCTGCAGACATCAGCTAAAAATGTGATTAACAGGCTAATCCTCACCAGCTTTCAGTCATTATCAGCCACGTTTGGTATTTCATTATCAGTGGCTGCAGTAAAGTAAAAGATATGCTTTGCCAGTGTCTACGATAGTGATGACGAATGACAGTGATATATCATGACTGTTGTAAGAAAACTTTATATCTTCAAAATGGTAATTTAACATCTATTAATAAAACAAAAAAAATTAATAGGATTAAGGTATATAGAATTTTATAATTCTATATTTTGTAATATTACACTGTTATAACAATGGGCAGACATACTAATGGCTTTCTGAGCATTGTGAATTCATGACTGAGAGACATAATTAGTGCCTATATGAAAAAAGTACATTACTATAGGCTATGGTTGGTGAAAGTGGTTGCAACTCAAATAGCCTCCAGTGGATATCGATTGACTGGATGTCATTTGAGTGCTGTTGCCGTGGGATCCCTGGTGGCTGCTGGCTTGTTTCTGCTGCTGGTGGGCCTCTTGCAGTATCTGATCTGGCAAACACTGCCATTCCCTCTTGCCAGCTTCACCTGCTTCATCCGTGATCTGATAAGAACAGGGGCTGACGCCAGTAGAAACCACACACGAGCTCACACACATTTATCTTAGTTGTCAGAAGAAAACTGTATCTTTGAAATTGTAACATTAAAGAAGAAAAAACACATTCTTAAAGTTCCTAAAGTGGAAAAATCTGAGTAAAAAGTTTTTTTTTACATTATGTCTGTATTTCTGCCCAGATTTTTTAAACTTGTGCTTTTCATTTGCTGTTGCTGTTGGTCCATCATGAAATTTTACTGGCAGAGGCTGTTTTCAAATGGTGTAAAAAAATAGTAATAATAATAATACATTTAAATAAATAAAAACTGAAAAACTGTTTACAGTTATTGAAGAACTGTTATTTACGATTCTATAGACTGGTATATAGAGATTTGAGAGATATACATTCTTATACAAGCACAAGTCAGTTAATTTTAGGCATGCTGGGAATCTTTCATATGCATATAGTTGGTCCATAAATATTTGACCATTGACAAAGTTATTGTTATTTTATCTTTTTGCCACAGGAAATTGGAGTTAAATTCAACTAATACTTTTGACAAATGCAGATGTTCAGCTTCTGTTGGAGGGTATTTACATCAAAATTGGGTAAAAAAGTGTAGAAATGACAACTTTTTCATACTTAGTCAAGTATCTGGTACTTTCTGAAAAAGAAAGAACTCATTAGTGAGCTCAGAAACACCAAAAGGCCCAGGAGACCATGGAAAACAACTGTGGTTGTTGACAATTCTTTCGTTGGTGACGAGAAACCCCTTCACAACGATTGACCAGATGAGGGACACCATCCAGGTGGTAGGTGTATCTGGGTGAAAGTCAACAATCAGGAAGACTTCACTAGAGTAAAACTGTCAATTTACCACAAGATGTAAACTACTAAGCTAAGACCAGATTAAAGTTTGCCAAAAAAACATCTGAAAAAGTCTGTATAGGCATGGACATGTATAGGTGCCATGTATAGGTGCCAGTGGTTTCCTTGTATTTTTTGATAATGTGACTGCTGACAAAAGCTGCAGGAAGAAGTGACATTTATAGGTCTATATCATCTGCTCAAATTCAGACAAATGCTTAAAAAAAAAATTGGATGGCACTTCACAGTGTGGATGGACAGTGACCTAAAGCATACTGCACTAGCTTCTTAAGGCTTTTCAGACAAGTGAAATGTTCTTTAATGACCATGTCTGTCGCCTGACCTCGGTCTAATCAAGCATACATTTCACTTACTGAAAGCAAAACTGATGGTAAAACACTCCAAGGACAAGCAGGAGCTAAAAGCTGCTGCAGTAAAGGCCTGGCAGAGGATCATTGCCTGCTGTTGTCTATGGGTTCCAGACTTCATGCAGTCACTGACTGCAAAGGATTTGAAACTAAGTATTAAAGATGACAATTTAATTAGACCATTCACCCAATTTGAATAGAAGTAATTAAAGCTAAAAATCTGCACTTTGAGTTCATATTTATTAATGAATCACTTATTTGAGGAGGGTTACAAATGCAGACGTTTTAAAAATGTGAAAGGAAAAAATGTATCCCGGCTGTGTGTTGGGGTGCATGTGTATTGTGTTTCTGTCGCTAGTCATGTTTCACATGTTTCAAGGATGGTGTTGTCTTTCAGTCTAAAGGGGGTGTCTTTCCTTGTTCTCCCCTCTCCCTTCTTCTACCCATCTTCCCTGCAGCGAGGCCCCCAAATCCCTTCTTTTTCAGACTCAGCAGCTTTAGCTGCGTCTGTCACTCGTCTGCACTTCTTTGTTTGAGCAGCGTGAATGTTTAAGCAGAAAAGATGGAAAAATTGAGCTTCGCGCTGTCAGGCCTAATGATAGTCTCTCCCTTCAGCTTTCTGCCATGTTTAGGCTTAGTCATACAAACACACTCAACACACATATGCTTTTGCTTTATTTTCTGGTGCTCGTGTCAACAGATGTGGCCAGTCTGGCTTTGCCACAGATTAAGTTGCAGGGGGAGGCATTTTAAAGGGGCTTTCCTTCTTAGTGTTGCAGAGAGATTTAACCGAGTGGCAGGCTGCTCAAATGAAGCCTTTTTACTTCAAAATAAAGGTTCCTTAATTGTTCTTGTTTTTAACATGCACTTCTAGGAAAAACCTTTAATTGCCATAGAACCATTTTTTGGAAGTTCTTTAAAATTTGTAAAGGTTCTTCATTCGCACACTTGACTAGCAAAAATGATAACTAATTAATGCATTGAAAGATGCTTTAGGCAAACTAAAGTGTTTCTTTTGTGGCAGAGTTCTTTAAATCTGGACCTTGAATCCAGTTTTTGGTCCTGTAGTTTATAATCATTGCTAGTTAATTGAACTGTTGATGTAGCTGATTGGCCACCTAGTGTAGGGGTGCACAACTCCAGTCCTGGAGGGCCGGTGTCCAGCAGAGTTTGGTAGTTCCCCTTCTCAAACACACCGATTAAACCTGGCAATTAACAGATGAGTGTAATCAGGTGTGTTTGAGCAGGTAAATCATCAAACTCTGCGGACACCGGCCCTCCAGGACTGGAGTGTCTTACCTACCAGTGATTACAAAATCCTGGACTGGACACTGGATTTAAGATCTGGATTTGAAGACCTCTTTGCTGTGGTATCTCTCCAAAGAACACTTTCTAGGACCTTTGTTTTTAGGAGCGCAGACGATTCCAATCAAACTCTCATGCCTGAGTGGTTGAATGCTAACATGGATCTGCTGAAGGAAGAACGAAAGAGGGAGGAAGAGGGATGCTAGAAGGAGAGAGGGACCTTAGCAGAAAGATTGTTAAGTAGAGGACTGAGTATACGGAATAAATGTCTTGCTAATTCAGTATTTATGGAATTAATGCTACGAGTTTTTGAATACTCGTGATGACATCACAGAGTATCATTAAGCAGATGTTTTCAAAAACGTGGGTTAGGTTCAAACTGAACAGATTGAGGTTTGGGGAGCAAAGCCCGTTGATCCGTCTTCCCACTAACCAGATATAGAATTTTGGAGGTACAAGAACTGTATCTTAACAAAAAGATCTTTGCGCTGTTTCATACATTAAGCTGTAGACATTAAACACCAAAACACCACCTGCCTTCTGATAGGGCAAGTGCATTGCGTTGGCTGGAATAATTTGCATAAAGTTCAGCTGCCACATCAGACCAATGTAAATGCAGCACACGTCATCTCTCACCTACCTTAAACTAATGAGTTGTTGAGGGGTAATTCCACTGAATGTCCAAACCTAGTGCATAATTAAATGGTGAAGATGTAAACACAGTCACTCAGAGTGGTTTGATGTGAAAAGCACCATTGTAGAGAAACGTAAAGTCAGAATTGTCCGCAGTATTGGTGATGCAAACCAGATGTCAGAATTCTTTAATGCCTCTAAAAGTTCACGTAAAGTTATTACATAAAATTTTTACCAACATGCTGCCTGATGCCTGGGACATTGTTTTATGATCTTTTCTCAGGTAAAGTTTTGGCCTAAAACGTTTTACCCTTTTCAACAAAAGGTAGGGTCACTGTAAATCTGAGTCGGTGTTTCTCTACAGTGCACCACTGTTCGACGTCGGACCACTCTGTATTCTGAATCTCAATTATTGGAAAAAAATAAGGGGAATTCCCCTTCAAGTAATTTCAAATATATTTGTTTATGTGGCTTCTGACCAAAGATACATTAGCCTGGTATCAAATGACTAATTGACTATACAACTGAGGGGAAATTTGTGTAAATTCCTTCAAGCGTACAGTAAGAAATGACTATCAGAATTTATTTTTACCATAAACTGTGATTAATGGTCAGCTGCGGTGTTATAATTCATCACAATATGAGATTGTCATGGACTGTTTTACGCTCAGGTGCAGCCTTGCTGGTCGTTGGCCTGTGACTTGCTGTCTGAAAGCCTACTGCTACATTCGGTTCCAACTAAAGCTTTCACATAGCTTGACTTAGTGCCAGGCAGGCAGCATAAAATGAGGACTAATTGGTCTTCTGGTGGGAGGTGTAAAAGTGTGTGTGTGTGTGTGTGTGTGTGTGTGAGTAAATCTTGTACTGGCTCTGTTAATTACAGCTCTCTAGTGGTCCATTTCTTTGTACAGCAGGAGAGAGTGGAAGGGAGGGAATAAGAGAAGGTTCTGGCATGGAGGAAGCAAGGGAGAATGAAAGAAGTAAAAGAAAAACAAGAAAGTTAAAAGAGAAGGAAAGAGAGGTGCATGAAGCTAATCCTGCTAACTGCTTTTAGGAACGTTTAGGGAAAGTTATGTGAAGGAGGATAGATTAGAGACGAGAAGAGGGGAATAATTATGAGTGGACATCGATGTATATGTCTACGTTTCTGGGTCAGTTTAGCCTG